GCCAAGGCCTCGGGCTGATCGTGATCGGGTAAGTGCTGCGGGGGGAGGGAGGGAGTGGCCGCGGGGCGCAGTCGGTGCCGTGCGGGATTTGGTCTCCCCCCGGCGGGCGGAGTCGGCCCCCTCGGTGCTCTGGGCTCGGCGTCTTCCGGATCCACTCCCGACCCCGATGGCATCTGCACTTCCTCGCCAAGTCCTGCGGTCCCCAGGACCCGAGCCTTGGGCAACCGAGGACCTGGGCGCGTTCGAGACCCGGCTCCGACCGGGCCGCGGCTGGGGTTGAAGTTCTCCAGTTCCGGCGCAGTGTGGTTGAGATGGTGGCCAGTGAAGGCACAAGTGTGTAAACGCACTCATTGGAATGGGGAGATCCGAGGGGAGAACCCAAGCAGTGTACTTCCGTAGAAAGGCCCTGATCATAGCTCCCCGCCCCAGGAAATAGGTACTTGAACTGGGTTCTGTGGGGTCAAAGGAAGAGAAGTGGGGGAAGATGCAGTGGGGGGGGGGGAGGATGCAGTGGGGGGGCGGCCTGGGAGGGATGGTTGAGACGTGAAAGGGTGACCTTGATCAAGACGCGTGGTATTCATAAACTGTTTTGTCCTATGTACAACGACTTAAAAAGCTTTTTGTTTTTGTTTTTCCCAAGAAGCAATCTTAGCAAAATGAATCAGCAGTGGGTCCTGTGAAAGGGGCGGGACGGGTCAAGGGGAGCAGAGTAGACTAATGAAGAGAAGAGGGAAAGCGGCAAGAATCCAATGGCGCTGGGCACAGGTGTCTCCCGCCTGCAATCCTAGCTACTCAGGAGGCTGAGGTCTGAGGATCGCAGGTGGAAGCCAGCCCAGGCAGGAAGGTCCTTGAGACTCTTACCTCCAATAAACAATTTTCACAAAAAGCTGCTGTAGCTCAAGTGGTAGAATGCAAGCCTTGAGAAAAAGAAGCTCAGGGGCAGCACCCAGTCCCTGAGTATAAGCCCCAGGACCAGCACCAAAATCAATCAGTCAATCACTCAATCAATCAATCCAATGTATATCCTGCAAAATTAAGAAAAGTGAGGGAAGAGTTGGGTAGGGGAGGGAGGGATGTGAATATATTGAAAGGGGTAACATTGATCAAGATATGTCGTATTCATCAACTGCTTTGTTAAATGGCAACTCTTTGTACAACTACTTAAAGATAATAATAAAAATGGGTGGTGTGTGTGGGGGGGGGGAGGATGTAGCACAGTGGTAGATCACTTGCCCAGCATTCACAAGACCCTAGCTTTCATCCTCAGCCCTGTAAACATAAGCATAAAAGTGATCAGACTAGAATCATTGGCTGAATGTTTGCCACAGTTTAGTCTCTCCAGGAACCCATATTTTTTGGTCTAATTTATTCTCAAGTTGAATGTAATATGTAGATTCTTTAAAACTGAGAGATACCCAAATCTCTCACTGATTTTTTTGTTTTCCCTGACAGAATAGATAAGAGCAGTGTGTTGAACAACCTTCATTCCATATGTTCTATTTAAATCCCACCAATTTTAATGTTGTAAAAGTGCAAGTAAAAAGGTACTGCTTTAAAAAAGGGGGTTGGGGAACGTCTGGACTTCAGTCACTTGTGCAGATTGGAACTCAGCCTTAATTTTGGTGCATAACAAATTAGAACAGTGCAGTTACATGTCTGTGTCAATGTCCCCTATGGGAACCTATGTCCTACTCCCAAATTAAATGTGTTTCCAAGCGATTTATTATCTTTAAATTTAAGCAATATAGGAAGAAATTGTCACGCCTATGTATTACAAAACATCACCTTTCCAGACATTTTAATATGCTCATTTGAAAATACCAGCCTGAAGTGGTGGTTTACACCTATAATCCCAGCTACTGGGACAGCAGAGGCATGGAGGCTGAACAGTTAGAGGCCAGCCACAGCAAAGTCTGGGAGGTTTGGCACACTTCCTTACCATGTATGGAATGTGGACGACTTGATTATTTATAGGGGATTAAAGATGTTCAACGTGCTGCCTAGCAGATCCATGCTTGGTTATTGTACAGAGAAGCCTACGAGCAGAAGCATGCTATAACAGAATACAAAGGATATACTTTATGGGCTCTGTTTTGAGTTCACCACCTTAGTACCTCGTGGTCTGTAACAAGTCAGTAGCCAGCATCCGAGTCTTTTTGGTGGCCTTGGAGGTCATTGAAATATAGTTCAAACTTCTTAGATCACGTTTTGCATTTGTCTATGAGTTCCAAGAAGTTCCACAAAACATGAGGAGGGGAGGAAGGGAGAAGATAATACTGGGAAAATGATGTAGAATGAGATCATGTTGTGATGCATTTGCTTTTTGGAAATTCCTAGGAATACTGCCACTTTCCCTGAGGTCCTGTACCCCAACTTCCCCCTCTCCTGAATGGCCACTTGAGCCACTACAATAGAACGGTTGCTCAGCTACTCCATTTGGAAAATCAGGCATTAAGTACTCCTGATTCAAGACAAAACTAGACTGCTTCTAAATGTATGCCAGCATCATGGTATCTGGTTGGAAGTAAGGCAGATTGAAGGCTGTTCCCCATTTCATTGCCTTACCTTAAGTCAACACAAGTTTTATTTGAAAGGAAAATATGGTTCCTACTACAAAAACATTAGTTTTCTTTTAAGGACCAGGAAGGATTTTGACTGGAGGGAATTAAATGCTTTAAGAGGTTCATTGCCAGGACATTTTAAAGATTAACAGGAACTTGCTTCTTGGTTCAGTTTCATAGTTTACTTAAAGTTTAAGTATTTTTTTTTCTGTTTTAATCCTACATTGATTTTTTTTTTAATGTTTTGAAGCTTTCTTGAGCTGGGGGCCAGTGGCTCATGCCTGTAAGCCTTGCTATTCAGGAAGCTGAGACTTGAGTATTGTAGTTCAAAGTCAGGCACACAGAAAAGTCCCTGAGACTCTTATCTACAATTAACCACCAGAAAAACGGAAGTGGTGTTGTGGTTCAAAGGGATAGAATGCTAGCCTTAGGCCAAAAAAAATCCCCTTCCAGGCCTTACATTCAAGTCCCATAACTGATTGCCCCCGTCCCCCCAAAAAACTCTCTTAAAACCCAGAATATACACCAGACAATGATGCTAAAGAAAAAAGAGTTAGACTTCATATTGACTCAAAAGAACGTGTTGCATTTAGCATTAATATGGGGTTCATTCTACACTGCAGTGTAGGTTGGGTTTTTCAAGGACAACGACAAGCTGGGATCTAGCACGTGACTGACTTGCCCAATCTTATGCCCTGGAGTAAGGCTGTGTCTGAATTCCTGCCAACTGCTCCGGGCAAGGTTTACTTTTCTTAATGTCAGAGAAACTTGTTGCTTTAGCTAGTTAAAAGAAAGGTACCTGAGGCTCTGTTCTAACTAGCTATTGACAGCCTTGTTCCAAGAAAAGACAAGTCCACGCTCCATGTGTTCATGTTCCGTGTGTTCAGAGAAATATGGCAGGGGAAGAGGAGGAACTTCATACAGAAAGAAATGAATGTTGTTGGGCCTTGACTTAGGCTTTTGTTGTTTTGAAGAATTTACACTCTTTGTGAAAGCATTACAAAATAAGTATGGGCCAAGGGGAAAGGGATAGAAGAATGAAGCAAGGAAGGGGAAAGAATGCAGGCAAGAATTCATTGTATGTACCACAGAATTGAGAAATAGAAGGGAAGGGGTGGGGAGAGGGGAGATGAATATGTTGTAATGGTGACACAGATCAAGAAGCATTGTACACATAAATTGCTTTGTTAAAAGACAAAAAATATTCAATACATAACCTAAAATTAAGATAGGGAAGGGGTAGGGAGGGAAGAGTAGGTGAGAAGGTTGAAAGGGATAAAATCGATCAAAATGCACTGTAGTTATGAACTGCTTGGGTGAATGGCAACTCCTTTCTACAACTACTTAAAGATAATAAAAATAGCTGGGTGCTGGTGGCTCATGCCTGTTGTAATCCTAGCTACTCAGGAGGCAGAGATCTGAGGATCGAGGTTCAAAGCCAGCCCAGGGAAGGAGACTGTGAGACTCTTATCTCCAATAAACCACTAGAAAACTGGAAGTGACATTGTGCTAGCCTTGAACTGAAGAGCTGAGGGACAGCGCCCAGAGTTGAAGCCCCACGACCACCACCATCACCACCATCACCCACAACAGAAGATGATAAAAACATTACAAAAATAATTAGATGGGGTGGTGTGTAACTCATGTTGTAATTGGAAGTTACAGGTTAGGAGGACTGCAGTTCAAAACCAACTGGGGTCGGGGGAGGAATGATAGTGAGTCCCATCTCAACTAACAAGTCAGGTGTGGCAGCCTGAATCTATACTCCCAGCTACATTTGACACAGAGGTAGGAAAGGCAAAGCGAAGTATATTCCAGCCTTGGCAGAACCATGAGACCTTCTGTCTGAAAATAACAAAGCAAAAAGGGTAGAGACTTAGTTTAGATAGTAGAGGGCTTGCCTAGTAAGCATGAGGCCCTGAATTCAAATCCCAGTGCCAACCCCCTCCCTGCAAAGCCATGAGAGTTTATAGGTTTTAATGAGTAAAGACAAAGTATTTCTCCATGAAGACATTTTATGTTTTATGTTTTAATTTTGTTTTGCAGAAGAGGACTGTCAGAAGGCCCTAGGAAGCCCAGTGTGCTTTTGGAAAGCAAAGACTCTTTACCTGCAAACTTTACAAGGAATGTGCAGAAAGCCATTGATAAATACACCAGGTAAGAATTAACCTCTTACACGCTGCTGATGACAAAATTCAACAATGTCCATATAAGCATAGGAAACAAAATCTGTGATTAGATCTTATGAGCTTTGAAGAGTAAAATGCAGGGGTTTTGTTGTGGTGGTGGTGTTGGTGGTGGTAATTGAACACCCTGAGCATTTTGGCTCAAGCTTAGCACTGTACCACTTTGAGCCATACATAGCCTCACGTCTGGTTTTTTGGTGGTTAATTAGAATAAGAGTCTCACAGACTTTTCTTTCCCCAGCTGACTTTGAACCATGATCCTCAGATCTCACTCAGTCTCCTGAGTAGCTAGGATCACAGGTATGAGCCACTAGAGCCTGGGGCAATTTCAGTTTTGACCCAGTAAAAATGATATATTGCAAATATATTTTAAATGTATAAAAGGTAAAATACATCTGTGCTATTTCTACATGGTATCTGTTTAATATTTAAACTATTTCAGCGGTCTTTAAAATGCATTGTCCTGTGGAATTCACAGATCTAATTAAGGCATGGTAGAAAATAAAGGCCTTGAGAAACACAGTCACTTGCTTGACTTACTATGGAATTTCATAGGGTAAAGTTTATTTCTGTTGCTTGTGTTCACACCCACAGTGAATCCTCCACTTTCTCCTCCAGCGGGAGGGACACACCTACAGAGACCCACAACTCATGGCCGGGGTCTTCCACACAGAGTTCCACCGCTGGTCTGTCTACAGAGAGGAGCTCGGTTTATTCCTGGAGAGATGATGTATGTTATGTTTCAGAACACGGAATAATCCTGCGCTTGCAATGTGTACTGAATTGCATTCTTTATTATTTATTAGTTTAGTGTAGTGACCTTTAGACAGGGTCTTGCTTTGTTGCCCAGGCTGGCTTTGAACTCACAATGCTTCTACCTCCATCTTCTAAGTGCTGGGAGTACAGGTGTGTGCCACCACAGCTGGTTAAGAATTGCTTTCTTATCTTCAAAGAACCTTGTCATTCTTTTTAAAAGCATTGCCTACACTTATGCATCTCTCACTATTTACATGTTAAAATAGGAAAATGCAGAGAAAAACATAAAGATCACTCATACTGTTAGAGACTCAGACTTTCTAGAGTGTTAGCTGTTGGAGGTTTGTTTTTCCTACTCCACAACTCAACCTCGACAATATTACATATAATTTCTTGTACAGTATCTATGGCTGGAATCCCAGTATAAAACCCTGGCAATTTCTTATTAATAGAAGAATGATTTTGGAAAGGTGAGGATTGTGAAACATCTCCATAACTGGAGGATTTCTCCCCGATGCTCTGAACTGAGTATTTCACTTTCATCTTTTAACCCTAGGGAACCCATGACCTGGAACCCTATCTTGCATCTTTGTGGTGGTGGGAATCTTAGCTGGGTAGGAGTTTAGTTTCAGCTCCAGCTTTGCTGGGAACTCAGCTGCCTCTCCAGGCTCCACCCAGTGGTGACCCCTTACCCCCCAGTGACCCTGTGCATCCTGGAATGTAGTTTGGCAAAGTGCCATCTGCCTGTGGAAGAGCCTCCACTACACTTCTTGGGAGTTCTACTTCCTTGTTTGTCCTCTTTCTTTGCTTTCCATCCTCTGGCCTCCTCTTAAAACCTTCACATAACTGGGGATAATTTATTTCTGCTTTATTGATTAAAATAACTTTAGTAACCCTAGGTTCAGAAGTAATTTCTCTTCCTGTGGTATCATCAGAAGAAAAAATACCTTGTAATTTGTGTGTGTGTGTGTGTGTGTTTGTGTGTGTGTAAGAGAGAGAGAGAAACTGTTGCATTGGTTCATCTGAGTGAAAAGCCCACATTCTTTCCCCTGTTTGAACCCTCATGAGTATATTGTCTTTTCCAACATAAGCATCATTACTTGGAGAGCCTGGTGTTTCCTGTCATAACTAAATGTGCATTTCTGTTTCAGGAATTTGACAAAGTCAATGCACAGAAGGTGCAGCAGCTGTTCTGGGAGGTGGAGGAAATGTTATTTGAAGGGAAAGTGAGTCCCCAAACCCAGAATCTGCTGGCGGAATGCAGCCAGTGGGCAGAAAGGTCTCTCCATCTGAGGTAGGGGGCCGTGCCCAGAAATTCTCTGAAATGCCTTTGCTATTGATGGCTCCTTCCTGGAATTATTTGCTGAATCAAAATATGTAGGCCGATGGGCTGGGAAGGTGGCTCAGTGGTAGAGCACTTGCCTTGCATGCATGAGGCCCTGGGTTCGATTCCTCAGCACCACATAAGCAAAAAGAAAAAAGCCAGAAGTGGCGCTGTGGCTCAAGTGGTAGAGCGCTAGCCTTGAGCTGAAGAGCTGAGGGACAGCGCCCAGGCCCAGAGTTCAAGTCCCATGACCGGACCCAAAAAAAAAAAATATGTAGGCCGAGCATGGTTCTTTCTGATAAGTGACATCATTTGTTTTGGTGCCAGAGGAAGACATTAACACCTGCCAATATTCAAATACCCTGTTATCTGTCAGGAACAAGTCTGACTAATCCTCAGAAAAGCTCAATATGAATAACGAACGCTGGAACATTAGAAGTGATTTTTACCTTCGCATTCTCTCTCCACGAGTGTCAGGCATCTGACCCTGGGCACAGGAAGGATTCTGGAGTGGGCAAGTGCTGATTTTCTGAATGATTAGATGTACTTTTCATCTCCTTGCCATGCCTCCTGGGGGGAAACCCAACTTTCATTTTTATAATATCAAAAATAGAGGGTATGGAGCAGGTGGGAGAGAAACTGCTTTCTTCACCCTGCCAACCCACGAAGGGAAACATCCTCTCAGTTCTTGGGAGTTCTTCTGCATTACAGCTCTGGAGAATGATCTAGAACATGAGTTTTCTGACTAGCTTGATGGTATGACTCACAAAATAAACGTCATAGATGTTCATGGTGACACATGCCTGTAATCCCAGCACCTGGGAGGATGGGGCAGGAGGATCATGGGCTTGATGCCTTCCTGGGCTCCGGGCTACATGGGGTGACCTTATCTCAAAAACTAAAAAGAAAACAGAAAGCCTTGGCCAAGTAGGTAGAAAATTTCCCCCTCATCCTTCATAATCTCCTACCATAAGGAATACAATGTGTCAATCGGATATTAATTATAGATGTGTATTTTTCTGGGGATGGTGTAGCTAGCAAATTGTCAGGAACATAGGCTTATTTCTGTCACCATTACCATATGTTTTAAAATATAAATGAAGAAGGGAAATTGGGAAAGGGAAAGATGGCCAAGGCCATACCTACATGGGTTTTCAGTCATGAGGTGATACTAACATTAGTGAGCATGTCTGTCACGTCCCTTGCCTTAGGTATCTGCATCCAGCGTAAAAATTAGCTAAGTCATTAATCACTGTGGTCAGATCATTAAGATTCTGTTTTGTCTATGAAAAGCAAATGATCAGTAGCTGAGAGAGGCAGAGAACTGAGTTCTGACCCAGTCCAAAGTCAGAAAGACTACCCTGCCCACTCAAAGCCCAGGTTTTCTCTGCTACCACCATGCTTTTACATGAGCAAACACTAGCAAGTGGCAAGGTCACGTCACGTGACAGGGTTCCCCTGTTTGATCAAAGGTAGGAGCAGCTTTGTGGTTTCTCCCTTTTACAGGGTGTTAGGAAGACAGCTCATACCTCCAACCGATGAGGGCTTCCGGCACTTCCAGAGGAGTGAGGCTGCTTCTGCCCACCACAGGCCTCTACCTGCTGCCCCTGAACAGAGTGGCAATGTCAGAGAGTAAGTTTTTCCATGCCATTTTAACATCCTTTGCATGTTGACCTCATCCAGTAGTCTTGCCTCCAACAGATACTCAAATTTCAATCTCAGTGCAAGACAGGTACAGAGCATGTTTATCTATAAGGTACTTCTAGGGGCTGGGAAGGTAGCTCAGTGGTAGAGTGCTTGCCTTGCATGCATGAGGCCCTGGGTTTGATTCCTCAGTACCATGCAAGCAGAAAAAGCTGGAAGTGGCGCTGTGGTTCAAGTGGTAGAGTGCTAGCCTTGAGCTGAAATGCTGAGGGACAGTGCCCAGGCCCAGAGTTCAGGCCCTATGACTGACAAAATAAAATAAGATAAAATAAAAGGTAAGAAAAGAAAAGAAAAAAGATGCTTCTAGATCCTAGGTGATGATGGTGATGATGATGATGATGATGTTGGTATGTGTGTGAAATAGGGGAGAGAAAGAGAGCAATAGATACAGAATATACTCACAGGCACATGGAGTTATTTTCAAAAGAAAATGTGGCCTATGCAGTAGAAAAGAGAGCTTTTTTTGTATTCCCTACCATTATTAACAGATTTTTGATAAAGCTCTTTCTGCCTTCATACATATTCAGAATCAAGCGGTGACATCTTTTTTTTTCTTTTACTGCAGAGTGGATACAGACACATAGAATATTCCAAGGCTCTAAGAAGCCCTTAAAATCTTCATCACATCTCTAGTAAGAGATATGAGTTTTGGCAAATGCGCCACTGAATGGTTTTACATTTGAGATGCTGTACTCTGTGGAGAGTTGGAAGGTTTACCACAATCAGTCTAGCATTACACTGTTCTACAAACTCCCATGTAGATTCTGTTTTGTCCTCACAGGTTGTGCATCTCTGGCTGCCAAATAATCCCAGCTGCCTTCCCATCTTCTGCCCTGCCAGGCCCTGAGGGCACAGGGATTGCTGACCTCCACGCATGTCCATCCCTGGAAGAAGAAGTTTATAATGAGGATGGGAAGTTTGAAGAGTATTTTGCCTTTGATGGAAAAGACAAGTAAGTTGGATTTATTTGGCATTGGTTTCATAATATAGTATTTATTTGTTTGACATTTATTTTATTATATGATCATTAATTCTTTGTGTATTCACTTATTTGAATGATTTCTGTCCTTTGGAAAGTTATAGATCCCTCAAAGGTTTTAGATTGCTGGAAGGAATCTAGCACAGGCCAGTAAAGGACTCATGTTAGGGCTCTAGGCCCTAACACTAACAGTTTATCAATCAAAAGAACAGTAAATGCACTGAATGCATGTTTCATTCATGAATGAAAACCTACAAGCACAGTATAGTAAAAATTTGTCTGAAGCCAGGTGCTGTGGCTCAAGCCTGTAATATCAACTACTCACAAGGCTGAGATCTGCGGATCTCAGTTCAAAGTTAATCTGGGCAGGAAAGTTTCTGAGACTCTTATCTCCAATTGACTTACCAAAGAGCTGTAAATGGAGCTGTGGTTCGAAGTGGTAGAGCAATAGCCTTGAGCACAAAAGGTTAGAGACAGTGTCCAGGCCCTGAGTTCAAACCCCAGGACACACACACACACACACACACACACTCATGATTGAAAATTGGTACAAAGTAATCAGGTTCTAAAATCAGGCCTAACAAATATAAGGAGATTGATTTCATATAAAACATCTTTTCTGACCACAATGGCAAAAAAATAGAAATTGTTAGGAAGGAGGAAACTGGAAAGTTAATCCATATATAGAAATTAAACATTGTTCTCCTATAGAAATAGTGGGCCAAAGCAGGGTAAAAAGAAAGCAGAAGAGCTTAAGACAAAGGTAAATGAAAATACAAACTTAAGGGATACAATAGCCCTAAGAGGAGGAGAGTTTGTAGAAATAAATACCTGCATTAAAAAGGTAACAAAGATCTCATATAAGTAAACTAAACTTATACTTGATGGAATGAAATTCATAACAATAAACTAAGCCCAAAGTTAATAAAGGAATCATGGAGATTAGAGTCTCTAGTTAAAAACTAGAAAAAGAAAAATAGAACAGATCAATGAAGCTAAGAATTGCTTTGTAAATGAAGCTAAGGGTTGCTTTGTTTATTGTGCTTTCTCTCCTAGGTTTATTGAGGCATAATTAATAAATAACAACTTATATATTTAAAACAACAATGTGCTGCTGTGTTAAAAGTATGTTGTGTGTATTAATAAAAATAAATATGTAGATGCTTGCAAGACAGATGAAATAGACAGGTAGGTAGGTAGATGATAAATAGATGGATGGATAGATAGGTAGATCATTGTAGGTAGATTTATTTTAACTTTAACCATGAATATTTTAATCATTAAAATGGGTTTTCATCTTCAGTGGTGACGAACAGCTGGGACAAACATCAGTTCATCATGGCAGAAAGTGGAATAAACACGGGCTTCCTCCTGTTTCTCCGCATGACTGTATCAAAGATGCTGTGGCAGCAGAAGTATTTGATCATGTCTGGAAAAATGTGGTAGAAATACTCCAAGAGCTGATTCGAAAAACTTGGGAAGCTACGGTCACAGGTACTTCCCTGTTAAATTTAGCTTACTAAAAAGAACAAAAAGGGCATTATTGGTTTGCGAAGTGGGCTTTCTGCCTTTATTTTATATTATTCATTTTTGTCGATCATAGGATTTGATCTCAGGGCCTGGTCACTATCTCTGAGCTTTTTTGCTTACCAAAGAAGCCACATTCCATTTCTAGTTTTTTTGGGTGGTATTGGAGAAAAAAAGTCGCATGGACTTATCTGCCTGGGCTGCCTTTGAACCATAATTCTCAATCTTAGCCTCATGGGTAGCTAGATTACAGGAGTGCATCACCAGCACCTCGCTTCTATTTTTATTTATGGGTGATTTTTAAACTTTGTTTTTTTCAAAAAGGACATTCTTGTTTTGCTGTTCTCAAAATAATACACATGCATTCTATAAAAACAACAAAAAAACAAATACACATAAAGAAAGGAGAAGATACTTTTAATTGTGATTAAAACAACCTAGTTGACTAATTCTGATAATTAGATGTTACTTTTTTAATCACTTATGGCATTTCTTATGAAGAAAATATAACTATAACTAATTTAATGATTGCTTCAATTATCTTCAACATATGAAATGCTCTCACGTAGAGCATTAGAAATACTGATGTGGGGCATTAATGACTAATTTGATGTAGCAGTTGATAGAATTGGCAATAATAACCATGTGGATTTGAATACTGTTGTTTGTCCAGTCAAAAGAATTGGTTGGACTGTCATAAAATGAAGAGAATCTCTGCTGTGTAAAGTCAGTCCTCGCTCTGTTCCCTGTTTGTCTATTGGTCACCGACGTGAGCATCCCCACGAATTGACAATCCTGGGGAGGTGGGGAGGGAGGATAACTACTTGGTTCTTGACTGTAGAACTCTTTAATTAGAGGCCACCTGGGAACCTGTGATAACTCAGCAACAATCAAGGACAAATGTCATCTTTGGTAAGTGTCACGTTAGGCAATCTGATGTTGCTCAACAATTTTTTTGCTGACACAGAAGAAAAAAAGCAGAACGAAAAACTGAAAGTAGCTGAGAACAGAGCTTCCACTGTATACGTCTCCCGGGTCAGCACTGAGGTGGCCAGCGTCCCCCCGTCCAGAAGTTCTGAAACTCGTGGCATGTCACTAGCCTCTCATCTCCATCCTCCTCAGGTACCCCAATATCCACCCACCTCTCCTTCCTTTGACTTTTATATCTCTCTTCTCAAGTGGTCAAGAATGCTATTCAATTCCGTTCCCTTAAATCAAGATATTTGGGTGTTCTTCAATCAGTTAAAACGTAATATTTTGACTTACTTTATACCACACAATGTAATTTCATATACTATATAAGATGTGATAGTTAAACTTAAAATATAATTATTTTAACTTATATAGTGACTTTGTGATGGTCAATAGAATCACCATGTTCTCTTTTCTCCTCCCCTGCTGTCCTATTCTTTATTAGTTGTACAAAAAAATTCATTGTGATTTTCCTGTACAGTTTTAGTAAGTTATTTTATGCTATTAGCATATATATATATATATTTGTACTTTGATCATTTTTACCCCATCACTCTTATTGGTCCTCTTAAACAGTCTCCCTTCACACACAATCACTACATTCTTTTATTTTTTAATGTTTTAATAATTTTTATTGAGATTACGTGATTACATAAATTTCACAAATTTCACAGTATTGTGGGATAGTGATACTTAACGTCACAAACACATTTAGCCTTCACAAGGCAAATTGTCATTATCATGGTCTATAAAGTTTGTGAATTCTATAAGCGTTGACAATACAACTATTTCTTCCCGAATGGTGAGATGTACATTTTTTTCCTTCTGCTTAGTGTAAGCTTTTCCCTCTTTCCCTCTCATTCCCTCCCTCCCATTGCTGCCCTTGAGTTGCTTAGTTCACTTTCATCAATGTCCAATGCAGCTGATGGGCCTCTCTGTTGTATTTTTTCACCTGCTTCCTTCTGACTCTGTGCCTTCTTCCCAGCTTTTCTCAGATGTACACATATGTATACCATACATTCTTTTTTTGGGAGGGGGGCGGTCCGGTCATGGGGCCTGAACTCTGGGCCTGGGTGCTGTCCCTCAGCTCTTCAGCTCAAGGCTTGTGCTCTACCACTTGAGCCACAGCACCACTTCCGGCTTTTTTCTTTTTGCTTATGTGGTGCTGAGGAATCGAACCCAGGGCCTCGAGCATGCAAGGCAAGCGCTCTACCACTGAGCCACCTTCCCAGACCCTATACCATACATTCTTAATGAACACTTAGACACTGCTTTGATACATGGGACTATTATATTTTGTGAGAGCAAATAAAACACTTTCTCTAAATTTCTAGCTACTTATGAAGTTACGAATGGCTTCCTGTCTTTCCACCAAAGTGACAAAAATAATCAATTCATATGCATTGGATTCACTGAATAGTTATTGCTAATATGAAATGTACCATATTCAATATATTTTGGAGATGTATAGATGAATGAAACACTGTGTCTGACCTAGTAAAACAAAATTTATAGCAGAAGGTCAGATGCAATACATTCTGTATTGTAAAACAAAGCATCCTGGAAGAATCAAGGCAAGAACGGTTCATCCTGATTGGACAGTGAGGACTGGTCTACAGTGGAGGTGAAATCAGAGCAGAAATATGAAAAGATGGGCAGGGATTTGTAAGTAGGAAAGCTGGTTGAGACACTTCAGGCTGGACAAAAGTGTGAATCTGAGAAAGATGGAGTGTTTAGGGAACAATGATTAAATTGAAGACAGAGTAGCAAACACTGGGTTTTGAAGTCATGAGGCTTATTTTGTACATTTCAATGTTTCTAAACTTCCTATCTATATAGTGAGCACAATAATATGCTGTCTATGCGATTGTTTTGAAAACGTCAAATCAGGTATATGTAAAAGCTCCCAACACCAAACCAGACATAAATTAGGCATGCAATTCTTTTTCTTAGGATTGTGTCTTTACTGAAGGATCTAGTAGCAAGTTAAGCTAGAAAGGATGGATTGACTCATGCAAAATCTTCAGGGTACCTATGGAAATAGGGCATCATATTTTACATGGCCTATCTTATTGGGGATGAAGCAGAAGAAAGATCAAATAGGATTCCTGGTCCTACACTAGACATTATTTACAGTTTAATTGGAGATGATCAAGCCACGCCCCCCACAAAGATATAATATTGATGACTAAGGGTTTGAACTTTGCACCTAGGATACAATTAATTCAGTGATTTCAAATCAGTCCCCTTTTTTTCTAAAATCTTTGATTTCACCTTGTGCAGGTGGCTCATGTCTAAATCTTACCTACCCAGGAGGGTGAGATCTGAGGATCACAGTTCAAAGTCAACCCCAAGCAGAAAATCTGTGAGAGTCTTACCTACACTTAGCCACCAGAAAGCCAGAAGCAGAGCTGTAGCTCAGGTCATAGAGTGCTTGCCTAAAGTGAAAAAACTCAGAGGCAACAGAGTTCAAGCCCCAGTTCAAGTGCAAGACAACAAAAAGCAAAAACCTCCATTCAGTTATCTATGGATGATAGGAAGCTGTGAGAATTAGAGAATGTAAGACATTTAGTACAGTGTTAGTTTTTGTTATAATCAACTGCTGATTAATGCTATAAATCATACCATATTTTACAACTAGATATGTTAAGTTCTAAGGGGTTCAGAGGAAAAAATATCATCCCTTTCACGAAGTAATCATAAACTAAGCTCTGCATGATAGGTTAGATTTGCTAACCCTGAAAAAGGAAAGAAGTTCACCTATGTATGAGGCATAATAATAAATGAGTAAAAAATCTTTGTAGGAGGGAAGGACGCAGGCCTGAACACACTGAGCGGGGAAAATGGCACTTGCTAGACTTCTAGTGTAAAGGATTTTTTTTTGTCAGCTGTGGGGCTTGAACCCAAGGCCTGAGTGCTATCCTTGAGCTCTTTTGCTCAAGACTAGCCCTCTACTATGTTGAGCCACAGTGTCACTTACTGTTTTTGAGTGGTTAATTGGAGATAGGAGTCTCCCAGGGACTTTTCTGCCTGGGCTGGCTTTGAACTGTGATCCTCAGATCCCAGCCTCCTGAGTAGCTAAGATTACAGGCATGAGCCACCAGTACCCAGGCAGTATAGAGGGGTTTTTTGTATATATATTTTTTATTGTAAAAATACTATACAGAGGGGTTACAGTTACATAAGTATAAAGGTTTTTAACCATCACTGTTTGCTTTTTCCAATGATAGAAAAGTTTGGAGCTGCCATCTACTTGTTGGATCTTTGGTCTCTTTAAACCCTTCTGATATGTTTGACATGGTATGTCCTACTCAGTTTAAGAGGAGTAAAAAACATTAGGAAAATTATTATAAAGCATACTCCCTTTCCTGAGTTTACCTACATCAGGCTATTTGCTCCCTGTTAAGTTCTGACTGGCCTTGTGATGGCATTGGACATGTTTTAAGTTTTAGCTTCTTTTTACTTTTCTCAGATCCATCGCTTCTCCAACAATTTCTACAGTGATTTGAATGGTGTGATGACAATTCAAGCCAAACCGCTCCAGCAAAGGCCTTCCTACTCCACAGACAGAACACAGTATGTCTCAGGGATAAGCCGGCACTTCCCTATCCACACAACTCCTGAACACTGAAGATCTTAGGGGGATGAGATAGCGAGAATCCCATTTAGTGCTACTCTCTGAGTGAGCTGCAGGGCGAATGCAGAAGGCGGCATGTGAAGATAGAAACAGTTTGTCTCACATCCACCACAAAATAACTCCTGCTGCAAGTTAGATCGGGCAGGATGAGGATGAGGGAATGTAGCTGTAAATTCTTCATCTCTTAGGCTTTATTCTGCAGGCAATGAGGAATTTAGGTCTTTTCTTCTGTCATTGATTCTTCATTGACCTAGCAGTGGAAATTGGAGGTGGTCTGAGCGTTCTCAATGGATGCTCAAGGGAATGTATTTTGTGTGCTGACATTGGTGTAGGCAGTACTGAGAGGAACGCAGACATCGTTGTGTTCTCTGATCTGAAGACATTTATAGCTAAATAATGAATTGGATTCTCCTCTCCTAGGAATGAACAAGAGGACAGATTATCTGGTGTGGGAGCCAGTGCTCTTTCCTATACCCGGGCCTGCCTGGGACGAATCTCAGAAACTCGTGGTTTACAGACTTCGGGCAAGAAAACAGCAGTGCACAGGAGGCTGCCTTCTTTGCCTTCAGAATCACAGAGACTGAAAACTCCCAACGTGTACAGCGATGAGATTCTCAGAGGAACCAAACTGTGAGTCTTGTTTCTTTTATAGTCAATAAAGGATCACAAAGGACAGACACATCTGTCAATTGGGATTGATGGCTTAGCCTGGACACAGGTTCCTCTATCCGACTTTAGCTAGCAGCTCTTTTAATAACTTCATGTACTTGAGTATGTACCACTAATTTTGTCTGAGTGGTATATGTAGCTATATACTAAATTGCAGTTCAGGCAGCTAAGTGTATTTAAGTGGAGTGGGCTGATATTGGGTGTATTCAGTAGCCTCATCTGTAAAACTAATTATTAGTGCTCTTAAAATATCCCTAAGATGTAGAAATGAGCTTTGATAATGTACAATCATGTATAGCACAATAACGTTTCAGTCAACTACACACCATAGGTTGATATTGCCTAGTGACATTAAAGCTATGTTTGTAGCTGTGTTTGCACTCGTACATCCTGTTATATTCACAGGATGACAGAATCTCATGATACATTGCTCAGAAAATACTTCTATCAATAAGCCACATATAACATATTTAAAAATAAAAGGTATGTAAGATGGAGCACCCTAGAATGCACTTTTAACTCTGGAGGGAGACCAAAACAGAAGGATAGTTTAAGACCAGGGATTTTGAATCAACTGGCCAATAAGGCAGGCAATATTCTCCCCCCCTCTTTCCCCCTATTAAGTTTTGTTCGATTTTAAGAAAGTGTTTCACTTATGTGGGAGTTTGAGAGATAGTTTTGAGGCTAAATGTGATCGTTCTGTATAGATGTGGTACTGTGTACTGTAATTCCAGAATTCATGAGCTAAGGTAGAAGAATTCTAAGTCTGACGTCAGTCTGAGGAATATAGTGATACTATCCTGAAGAAGGAGGATAAGGGAAAAGGGGAAGGAGGAGGAGGAAGAAGCAAAAGAGGAAGAGGAGGAAGTGGGAGAGGAGGAGGAGGAAGAGAAGGAGGAGGGGAGAAGAAAGAAGCATCAACTTTGATCTCAGTAATTAACATCAAGATCCTTACCTAAGTAAAAAGCCAATAGTCTCTCACTTCATCCCAGAATTCTGAAGGACTACTCAGACAACATATTGTCAAGCCATATTTATGTTCATGGTGACGTCTGGGGTTTAGTAATTGTTTTCTTTGTTGCCAACACTAGGTAGATGGATCACATTTATAATCTTATTCTAACCACAGACCTTTATTACTGGGGTATGTATATGTGTGTATTATTATCTCAATAATAATTGAAAGACAAGGGAGGTGTAGTTCAGTGTTAGAGCCACTTAACTACTATGAGCAAAACGCTAAGTTCAATTCCAGTGTCTGTGGACAAGTGGGAAATTAAAGCTGCACCAGAATCAAGGGAAGGAAAGAGAATAAGATGTAGTTATGCATGGTAACTGTGTGATGGCTCTACAAAAGGAGGCCCAAAATTAACTCATAGATAAAGCACTACTACACGTACAGATGGTCTATCTGTGGCACTTTCTATAGGGGAGCAAATAGGAAAAGCCTGTATCTAACTTTCCCAAATATAACCTCTAAGTTACCCTAAGTCTAACTTCTGAGAGAAGCTGAATAACATGCTAAAGATCTTCACACAAGAAGGCTGAGCTGGGGACACCTACCCAGTCTGCTGGCCTTGGAGTTTACCCCCTGGGCTATTGTTACAGGATTTCACCTGCAAGGGAGTGGCCTGCGGAGGGGCTGCTCTGCAGATCCCTGCAGGAATTGGAGGACTAAGCAATTTTCAACAATCACTCTCAGTCACTGGACTTTTTTTTTTTTTTAATGTGTTCCTAGTATCATTTTCAGCTTTTCTTAGGCCAGTGTTTGATAATTTCAGGATTGACACTTCCAATTGTATGGTATCTTCTCTGTTAATTTTTAAAAAAATATTTTATTTGACTTTAATTTTGTTGGTCATGGGCCTGAACTCTGGGCCTAGGTGCTGTCCCTGAGCTCTTCAGCTCAAGGCTAGAGCTCTATCACTTGAGCCACAGCGCCACTTCTGGCTTTTTCTGCTTTTGTGGTGCTGAGGAATTGAACCTAGGGCCTCATGCATTCAAGGCAAGCATTCTACTACTGAGCCACCTTCCCAGCCCTTCTCTGTTAATTCAAAAAAAAATTCTCAGCTGGATTCTAATGGCTCATATCTGTAATCCTAGCTACTCAGAAGGCTGAGATCTGAGGATCACAATTTGAAGCCAGCCCAGGCAGGAAAGTCTGTGAGACTCTTATATTCAATTAGCCACCAGAAAACTGGAAGTGGAGATGTGGCTCAAAGTTCTAGAGCAATTGAGTGAAAAACTCAGGGACAGTGCCCAGGCCCTGAGTTCAAGCCCCACCACTTACAAAACAACAAAACCAGACATTTCTCCTTCCTTTTATTCTCAGTGTGGCCAGCTCCTACACCTTCTTCACTCCAATTTCAAGTGATCACTATTCTGTGAACTTTCTTCTTCCTCCCCTCCAACGTCAACTTCTGAATCACACTTTTATCCCAAACCACCTCTATTTCTTATCCAAATAAACATAGACCCTCCAACTGTACATTTCTTTATATCTTGTCTTCTCTCTGTGTAGACCAATGTGTCATCATTTGTTTCATGGTCATGTTATTTGTAATAATTCTCTGGTTTTTAAGAGGAGTAGCTAGATCTTTAAATCCTCTGTGCTCGGTTTATTTCCTAGGGTAGTTATGTACTCAGTGAGTCCAGATTGACAGTCATAGTTAAACTAGGTCAGTGTAACTGGGGCTGGGGTTTCCTGATGCATATTTATCTTTCCAAACTTCCTTGGTCTCTGTGAGTGTTGCTTTAGGCAGGCAAACTGATAGTAGCACAAACTGGCAGCCTCATAGTTGTGTGTGTCTTACTCTCTCTTTGTGTATGTTCAGTGACTTGTTGTTGTATTTACAGGCAGACTGGCCTAGATCACCTGTCTTCCCCAGCAGTTCAAGCTTCCCGGAATAGATTACCCCCAATAGGCTCAGAAGTTGGGGAACAGAACACAGCAGTTTCTGGATCTCGCTTTGTTTCCGTAAGACAGATTTCATTATAAATATAACCATTTAGATAGTTGGTTTGGAAGAAACAACACAACACAAAACGTTATTGGCATTTCCAAGAGAAGTCAGTACATAAGCTGAATAGTTGTATTCAGTATATTTTTATATAGGTTCCCAAAGAGTTTATGAACATTTACAGAAAGCATATGAGGATTTACGTAGTATGTGAGGATTCAATTCATCCTTTTGTGAAGTGAAATTGTCTTGCACTGACTAAATCAGAAAGACCAGATGTCAAGAGGAAGACATGAAGCTTTAGGTCTAGAAACAGCAGATCTCTCTGGATCCTGCCTGTCAGACAGCATGGCTTGGTAGAGATTACTTAACTGTCTCTGAACTCAATGCCCTTATCTGTTCAAAGGTAAAATGGTTCCTATCTCAAGGAATTATTATAAGGATTAGAGGGACTCATAAATTTCTAATAAAGATAAATATAAATAAGAGCTCAGTAAGTGATTACTGTCATCTTTTTTTTATGAGTTCCCACAGCTAACCTTTGCCATGTTTATTTCAGTGTGAAATATCTTCACACACACGGTCCTTTTCCCCTAGCAGTGGAAATAGATGTGGGGAAGTAGACCACCTGCATATGGATCACCAGCCTTCTGCCAGCCTGACAGTGGCCTCTCAGTTCACTTGTGACTTTTGTATGAAGCCCAGAAGCTCCTCCCTGAGTTAAAAGAGAAAAAAAGAATCAAGCTAAGGTGTTTTCTTGCATGGGCTCAAACACAGCAGTAGAACCTGTTCTCAGAAGGCAAGAGGAAAACTCTAGTACTGAGCCAATAAGAGAAGGCCAACATCACATTAACAAGCCTGATGCTTTCCAAGTTCAGAATTGCGTTAGAATTTAACATCAAGAATTTTACATAGTTAAGGATTTTGATCTCTGCTTACCTACTACTGCATTGGCATTCATAGGGTTAAGAATTACATACTTAAAGCATATGTAAGCATAGTTTCCTTAGTAGACTTAATACTTGGTGATATCTAAATAAAAGTTCCGAAGTCAGTGAGTATTAAATGGGTGAACACTTGCAGCATATATAGTATGTTTTGCCTAAAGACTGTATACATTTTTTAAAGCAAGAGTGTGTTGTCCCCCCTTTTAGTACAGAGGAAAGCACCCACAAAACCGTGTACTGAGTGCACTGCCTGACAGCACAGAGCGCTCACCTCTTCGAGAAAGAACCATTATCTTGGAACAGCGTTCAAGGCCCAGCACAACTCATACATTCCGGGTAGAATTCTCCATTTGATTTTTCTTTTTTTAAATATTTCCCCCAAAAAGTCAAGCTTGTCCCTCATTTTATTTTTCTCTTTACAGTCAGATACACCTCGGAAAAGTTCGTTGACACCCATGGAGTTTACTGGTCACACATGGACTGGGCAAAGTCTTTTAACAGGTTAGCTTTTCCCACTTATGAAGAGAATGTAGTAAGCTGGGAATGATAGTGCATGTCTATAACCCCAGTACTTGGAGGCTGAGTTAGGAGGATGGTGAGTTCAAATCTAGCTTACCTGTGTTACATTGTGAGAATCTCGCCCTCTCAATAAAAGTCAGTGTTATAATTTGTGACAATTCATATTTTAGAACATGATAGTACAGATTATCTAGTTTAAAACTTCTGACTAGACCATGCAGAAAGATATAGAAGCATACCCTCAATGCATTTTCCTTCAGTTTGTTTTTTAGATACAATCTTGATCTTTTCCTCATGCCAGCACACCACTATTTTCTTCCTTCCACCACCTGAGTATCTGGCACTATAGGCTGTACCACCACAGCCAGCCTGGCAGAGATATTTTTTAGCCTTAAAAAAATTTCTCTTAAACCAGGTGCCAGTGGCTCATGCCTGTAATCCTAGCTACTTAGGAGGCTGAGATCTGAGGATTGCAGTTCAAAGCCAGCCTGGACAGGAAAGACCATGAGACTCTATCTTCAATAAATCACTCAGAAAACCAGAAGTGGCTCAAATGGTAGAGTGCTAGTCTTAAGCTGAAGAGCTGAGGGACAGCATTCACCCCCAGATTTCAAGTCCCATAATCGACAAAATAAATAAATAAATAAAAATTCTCCTATGGTAATAGCTCCAGGCTGCTGTGTGTTTGCATGTTAGAGATCCTGACTACCACATGTTAAGTAGAGATGTTGAATAGGTTGTTGGGACACACAATTTGGGATAAAGATAGAGAACTGGACTCTGTATACTTAGTTGTTAGGTTTTCACCAAATACTGAGTCAGTACTGTTCCCTGGTTCTGGGAATTGAGCTGAGACACTTTGCACATGTCTCAGTGACCTTGAGATAATTTTATTTATTGGTGGCTAGCGGTCTTTTCAAATCTATGAAAGTACTACAGACAATATTTCTGAGGGTTTATATTCTTTTTGGTCTGATAAAAAGATACAGGAAACTGTAACACCTCTTGCAGTATCCTTACAATTAAATATATATATATATTTTTTTTTTTTTAAAAAATGGATACATGACCACATTTATTCTTTGATAGGAAACATTTTTTAAAAATCCCTGAAGATGGGAAGGTGGCTATCCTCAATAGCAGGTAGGAATTTTTACAGCAGAGGACATTCTGCTCTCCCTGTGAAGTTGGACTAGAGATGGATAAGGAGGTTATAGCTCCTACTCCTTATTCAACTTCCTGGGACATAGGGAACAACCCAAACCAAGGTCTATACAGGAACAATCTCTTGCAAATTTGCATTCATAGAAGAAAGCATCCCAGAACTGTAGCTTCTCAGAGGGGTCATCCTTTTTTCTCAGGACAATAAAGGGGTGTGTGTGTGTGTGTGTGTGTGTGTGTGTGTGTGTGTGT